TCCTCTCACTTCCACCCACTGTCTGGGATCCTCATCCATTTTCTTCCCTTTTCTGTTCTTCTCTTTGTCCTAGAAGCTCATATCTGTAGATTGCATGCCTCAGACTACACGAGCCCCTGGAGTGCTTGGAGTTGACCAATGGGAAGCCCAAGTAGGGGACAGAAGGAGGAGGGGGAGTAGCTAGGGAGTTTGTCCCCATGGCTTCCTCCTTCCTCTTGCTTCTGTGTGGTTTTGGAGGTGGCTGTTTTCCAGGCCTAGCTCCTGCACTTTCCAAGCCTTCATGGCTTCACTGTGCTCAGCAAGTCGCATCACTTCTCTGTCTCTTCAGGCTGTGGTAGTAATAGGTTTCAGCTGTTGTCAGTGCTGTGCTATGCCAACATCTCTGTCTGATTATTTAACCCTCACTGCACCTCTGAATATGGTCCAAATGAACACAGTTTGGCTTTCCATGGTGAGACCCTTTGGAGTATGCCATGCTGCTTCCTTTCAGGGCCCTGAGCATCAGTATCTCAGAAGAAAACTCAGAAACCTTGGTGTGTGGCCTCCAGAGATTTCATCTCTTCTGTTGTTATGTTTCAGAAATCTCCCAGCATCGGGGCTCTCTGACCTGTCCATACCAACACATTTGTTTTCATGGAGGAGGGAGGTAGAAGTGCTGATTTCTCTAGAAGGTAGACTGTGGTATGAACATAGGCCCCCAGAATAGAATAAGGTACCCGCCATAAGGATCCAAGATGGCGCCACTTACAAAGGATACACACTATAAATGGTAGCTGCCGGTATCTTTCGTCACTGAATTGTGAACTCTCAAAAAAATAAGGAAGACAACAGGATAGTTATGTAACTTGTGACCTGCAAATCACAATTTATGACTTTTTCGTGTTGTCCTTACATTGCATAATGAGTGAATAGATTTTACTGGCCCTTTTTAATTCCATAAAGAGACCAATCTCCTATACCTATGAAGGATAATGACTGTATATATCGTGTGTCTTATAGGGTATTGAGGTAAACAATCAGAAGGTTTGAGGGGACAAAATACTTCTACTGTGAATAAAATATTCTCTCACTTAAAAGTGTCAGTTGGTGTTCAGAATGGTGACAGCCTGTGGGATGAGGTCGCTGCAGATGCCAGGCTCACATATTGTGAAACAGTTCATCAATTCTGATTAAATGCTATCAAAAATTAGATTACCAAGAAGGCTTGCAACATGTTTATTTTGCACTGTGCACACAAAAATAAATGTGGCTTTGATTTTGTGTGGAAACAGCCCTAAGTAGCCACATGCTGTTTCCATTTTTTCATTGTTCTTACTTTTAGTTTTGGTTGTTGAGACAGCGTCTTTCACGGTAATTCAGATTGGCCTAGAACTCACTCTGTAGCTCAGGCTGGCTTCAAAATCATGGCAATCCTCCTGCCTCAGCCTCCTGAGTGCTGGGAATACTGGCCCTCACTTGCTGTTTTTGATTGCTGATTAGCCAGGGCCTTTTATTCTACACCTGGCACCTTTATTTTCCTTTGGGAAATGATGTTTTCCCCACCCTACATCCCTGTGATTTTGGTAGCAATGGTGCTGTTCTTGCTCCAGGTAGCTGAGATGCAGCCCGGCCAACGTGAACACAACCTGGCATTACTGTGGCCAATCAGAGGTGGAGGAGTGGGCTCATGACTTCAGCAGACCAATCAGAGCACAAGGCATGTCGCGCATGGGTCTTTTCCTGGAGCTCTTGAGAAGGAAAATGTTTTTTTCCTTGCGGGGACTGCAAAGTGATATCTAGTGTTTTGGCTTCCTCTCCCCTTCGCCCCTCCTCCCCAGCCCAGCTGGAACTACTGGAGACAACCCTCTGTGTCCCGGGGCAAGATCCTGTCCAGAGCAAGGCCAACCCAGAAGAGAGCTGAGCTATGAGAGCTGGGAAAGATAAAATCCTGGTGCCAACACCCGAGGAGCCAGGTTTGGCTCTAGAATGGTCTATTATTTCAGTTTTCCTCTTCGTTTTAAATTCTATTTTATTTGTATAAATTTTCACAGTCATCCTGGGGATTTGGTACATGTACATAATACAGCTTTTTAAAGCCCCTTCCCTTCCCCTCTCTCCCTGCTCTTCTTCTCATTCCTGGGTCCCCCTTTGTGTTCTTGCCCATATTGTTAAGCGTGGTTTATGTTTGTGGCCTAGAATGCAAACAGTCACTGAGGTCATCAGGATCTCGCACCTGGCACATCTTCACTGCCCATTTCCCCCTCCCTATCACCCTCACCTTGATCCCCTGCACCCCTTCCCACCAGCAGACTCCCTGCCCCTTGTCTTGTTTACGCATCTGTTCTTCTTCTCTTAGTTTGCTGTGCTCCGCTAAGGGATACTATGCAGCATTCAAGTTTGTGCATCTGATTAATTTCAAGTTTGTGCATCTGATTGATTTCCTTCAGCACTGTATTTTCCAGTTTTATTTGCTTGAACCACTTTGAGTTAGATCCCGGCAGCCCTAATAGGAAGAATCAGGGTTAATGCCAAGGATAGTTTTGAGGCTTTTTGGTGTGGTCTGGCCCCCTCTCCTCATCCTCTCTTCATGTGGAAAGGACTTGTGACTAATTCAGCAGAGTCACTGAGCATATCCCATGGCAGGTGCTGAGCAGAGGCCCGAGATGGGAAGATGGAGGGATAAGCGCTCCCTCAGGGAGGCCGGCGGTGAGTGTGAGTGGGGTCACTGTGTCCTGTGCAAAATGAGAGTGGGGCAGGGGCTCGGGAGAAAGGGCTCGCTAGCCAGACTGCCTGCCTCTAGGAGAGTGCTCAGGGTTTACCTCCCACGCTTCTTCGCCTTTCTGTCCCTCAGTTTATCTTGAACACTTATGGAACAAAATAGTCGTAAATGAATATTGCTTAATATATATTCCTTTCTCCGTTTTTTTGTTGTACCAGGAATCAAACTCACAACCTCATGCTTGCCAGGCAGGCGCTGTGCCACTGTGCTAAATCCCCATTCGTCACATTTTTTTTTCAATTTAGCTTTTACAAGGAATGATTGCAAGAAGACTTGAATTTTTAAAAAAAACATTGTTCTTTCTTTACACAAGTATTCATAAATGTGCATAAATTGTATGTATTATCTTTTAAGGAATAAGAGATTCTGGAATTTGCTTACCCTTTACTCTTTTAGTACCAATATTATCTTTATTTTTCCATGTCAGCTCTTTGGTCCCCGTCCTTCATTCACTAGGTATTTCAAAACAAAATTTATCTCTGGGAATATAACCTATGAAAGAAATTATGGTTTTAAAAGTTACTCAGAATAGGCTCTGTAATGAAGACACGTTCAAAAGATAAGCAAATAATGTTTAAAAATGAGTGCATTGATAGATCATGATCAGAAGAAAATTTTATTTTCCAAGGTATCTAATTTTGTTGGCTCTTTTTTCTAATGTGCTGCCTGGTATTCTAGGGTCGGCTGTTCTGTCTCCAGTCACCTTTGCTCTCTTTTCTCCACCTAATCCTTGTTGCTCTTGATCTCTTGGGCTCATGACTCAGGGGAGGAGTGAGTGGACAGAGCATGGCAGGTAGAGGAAGGTAAGGTAGGTCTGGAAGACATGGGGGCCAAGGACTGCCTTAGACACAATGCTTGGTGGTTGCACATTTCAGCTCTAACAATGGAAGCACCTAGGTCTTAAATACAGAGGCTCTTTGCTTTCTCATAAATAAGCTCCCACTCCTCAGTCTGGCCCTTGAGGTGCTCAGAAATATGATTCATTGATTCTTCCCCTGCATCTCTCTTCTCACTTTTACTCTGCCTTGTTACCTCTGTCTCAGACCTCAGTCAGGTCCTAGCACCACTCAAGGCCCATTGGGTAGGTGTTTCCTTGGTCCACCTCAATCACCTCATATTTGGAAGCAAACATTTTCTCTTCTCTCACAGAACTGTGTTTCACTCTCTAGTTTAGCACTTTACATACTCAGCATGTTCTATTCCAGAGTTATGGGTCTTTGTGTATCTGTGCTTGTCATTTTTTGTGTCCTTAGAAATCTGGTGGTGGGAGCTGTGTCATGTTTGTCTTGGTGTCCTTCTGTTTGCACAGAATCCAGCTTGGTGATTCACACACAGTGGGCTTTAAAATGCTTATTCAATTAATAAGCAAAGAGAAGAGCAACAGAAGATGCAATAGAAGATATTGAAAGAGAATGATGAAAGGAATATGATTAATATAAATCAAGGACATGGTAACTGAAAGAGAATCACGGGTAAGATTAACCAAAGAACTCAGTTCAGGGAGCACCAAGATGCCAACACAGAAGAGAGAGTGGATTCAAAGAGGTGCGAGTCTTGAAAGAGGCAGCATTTACTCAGATAATTGGCTTCCTGTTTCTTCCTGCTACCAATTCACTCTTAGGTCACTAGAAACACGCTTTGCTTCCCTGGAACTCAAGGTGTAGAACATCCATAAGGAACGTCATCTACCAAGTTATACAGTAATTACCGAACATCTTCTTACCAAATTATACAGTAGTGCCATTACATGTGAACAAGCAAACATTTGTCCTGCAAAACCTTTGGGTTAAAAAATTTAGACACATGACCTACTGGCTGTTTTTCTCCCTATTCATTACTAATCCCAGGCTTGTGCTATTTCTATTTCTTTTGTACACTTTCCCAGCTGAAAAGTTGTTGAACTTGGGGGTGAGGCAGGGAATGCAGTTGCTGAGTTCCGTCTTTCCTTTTCATTTTTTCCACTCACTGGAACTTGCACGCCTTGGGGTACCTGGTGCATTTCTACTGGGAAGCTCTCCGTGGTCCCAGCCACAGGCACTGCAGGTCCTGTGTGCCTCTGGCTTTGGGTCAGTCTGTTTCCACAGTGAGTGTGTTTCCCGTATGCCAGTCTACGTGAAGGTGAAACTTGTGTGTAAACCCACTGTTTAATCAGATCAGTGCCATGGTGTCTGATCTACACAGACTCATTAAAGAGTTCTTGAGTGAATATGCACAAGCATGAAGGAAAGAATAATAAAACAAACACTTTTTCAGTTCGCTTTAATTTAGTTGAAAATAGCATCTCTTACATTTGTATTTTGACTTATTGTAGCCTTTTGAGAATTGTCAAAGTCTTGGGACATGGTTGTTCTCTTAAATAACAGACAAAAATATAATTCTATGAAGATTTAATGAGGCAGTATCATTGTCAGCTGGTTTTATCACTAAGGGCACTTAATAAAATTTTTGTTAACACTGTCTTTGTCTAAATATTTACAAACATAAGTTTCATGAGAATTCATATCTTGGGTTGCTGGATATAGTTTGCATTGGTGTGGTTGCAGTTGTCTGGTGGTTTGTCTTGTTTCCAAACATTCTGCCAGAATCGTCTCGCGATGCTCTGGGGTCCCACTGGGAGCCCCTTCAACCCCCTCCTCTCTTGTTTCACCTCCCTGCACTCCAAGTGAATCAAAGTGTCGGCCACAGTGATCCTGGCACATTCAGGTCTGCGGTGCAGATCACAGCTCATCGTCTTCTGATATGGCATCTAGATAATCTGTGTCCACATAGAGGAGGAATCCGGAGAACAAGCTGTCCGCCCACCCTGGATCTGAGAAGAGGCCGTTTTGGTCTGTGAAGAAAATTTCCAGCCAGACTTCGTCCTCTGGCTGCAGGTAGATGACTGTGGACCCGGAAGCCACATCGTGATTCCCTGTGTTGGCATCGAAGGTCTTTATCTTGTATTGGCCGTTGTGGACCAGCCCGATGGCCAGGTGCTTGTTGGCCAGTGTGATGTCGTAAGAGAAGTAGTAGATCCCGGGGAAGGCACAGATGAACTTGCCGGTCACGGGGTTGTAGTGCTCCCCCTCGTTGAAGAGCACCTTGTTAAATATAATAGGTAGTCTTTCTTCCGGGTAGCTGGTTGTGATGCCCACAGAAAAGGCGGATTTGAGTACAATACTCCCACATCTGCACACGCCAGGCAGTCCTGGGTCCCCTTGGTCTCCTCGGTCTCCCTTCGGCCCAGGAGGCCCGGCTGGACCTACTTCTCCTTTCTGTCCCTCTGGTCCTATGGGTCCTTTCTTTCCACGCTCTCCTTGGTCCCCTTTCTCACCAGCAAGACCCAGCGGCCCCGTCTTGCCTCTCAAACCTTCAAAAAGAGATTACAGTGGAATTAGTAGTCTCCCTAAAAGTCAAAACAGCATCCTGACATACCCCAACTGTGTCCAGCAAGCCTGTTTGTCTTTTCAATCTTCAGCAGTATACTACCAAATGATAAATCCTTCAAACAAAGTAATCTGCAAAAGTTAAAAGAAATTTTCATCAGAATTTCAAGTCCATTTTCTTGAGCATGTGAACCATTGACAAGTCTCTAAGTTAAAAATAATTAATTTTCATTTTGGTGACAGAACCAGATAGACTTTTAGGGGACTTTTGGTCTCATAATCCATTTTATTTCAGTTGGTATTAATAATGAAAGCATAAACAGTTCAAGCTACTTATGTTTGTCAACAATTTTCTATGTATCAGGAGTAGTGCTAAGTGGTGTATGTACATGCATTATCTGACTTTCATGGCACACTGACTTTGCAAACTAGGACTTATTATTGCTTCCATTGTTGATGAGGAAACTGAGCCATAGAAAAGTTACTTTTCTCAAAGGAACAGAGCTGGCGATTGATGGAGCTGCAATATGCCGGACTCCAGAGCTTGAGCCTCCTGGGGGGCAGTGGCTAGAGTGGGCCACTATACCTAAAAGGGGATGGCTATGATCTTCATACAGTGGTTCCTTTTAGGGAAGACGACTAAGTCCTGGAAAGACTAAGAAATTTGGTTCTGTAGCACTGTTAGGACTGGAGTCCAAGCCTCTGAGCCTAACCCAAGACTAAAACACCTAATGACATCTTTCCTTCATCAAAATGGCTCTTATCTTTGTATCTGGACTCAAGAACCCTAATTCTGATTGGCTGTGCTACTATGTAGTTGTGTCCTTTTAGGCAAGTCCGTTAATTTCTCTGCGTCTCCTTACATTCAAAGAGGTGACTGTGAAAGGTCAAATCAATACAGAACTATTTTCATTATACCCTCATCTTTGTATCTGAGCTTGGCTGTAGACTAACCGCACAGAAATGATGATCCTGGCTGTAAGTAATAAATGAAATCTACCTAATTTTTAAATAGCAATGACTTAACACCATAAGGATATGCTATTTAATTTTGTGGCCAAATCAATTTTATAAATATTGCTTATATAATGATACTTTCCCACAAATGCACAAATTACTGGTACTCTGTAATGCATATTATAGCAAGGAAAATATATTATTGATGCGAAATTTTCTTTTTAACTACATTTATGTTTCTCAAGGACCTTTATTAAGCTAAACATTTTCCTCTTGACTGTGCTTTGATATGAATTATTTGAATACTGCACATACTTCAATGTATGAGTTTGAGAATTTGATCTTTTATTTCCCGCTAACTGGCAAAGTTAATGAAGCATTCTGAGTACTACAAATTTGAAGAGAATTAAAACTTTACCCTTATAATAGCAAGTATTATGATTTATTAATTTTGGAAACTGGTGTTTCAATAATTTTCAGTACACAGAGGATGATAGCCACAAATGTGACCCTTGCTTGATGATTCAGGATCAGTGAATTTACTGTCCTGTCTCTTAGCTACAGATAGTTTGTGTTGTTAAACTGAAACTCTACCAGTCCAACCAGAACTCACTCTGATATTTACTTCTTGAAATAAAGTCATAATCATCTGATCTTTTCATGTTTATTTCTTTTTGGTAGAAACAGAATATGAATAGTATTTGGCTATTAAGTTAATTTTAGCATCAAAGACTACAACCCCTAAACTGACATTTTTATTTTTAACAAGAGCTTAACTTTTTTCAGTCTTCATCATTGATTATGTATGCATTCATAAAAGACATTTGGGTTTCAGGAACAATTTTAACCATAAGATTTCATTACCAACTCAAATCCTCTACCTCTTTTATTTTGGGCAAGTCATTCCTTGTCTGCCTTAGAAGGCTCCATTTATGATATTGGAGAAAGTGTTCATAAATGTACTCCAAAATTAGTGGGCAAATGAGACAACAGTGAATGGACATAGTAAAGTATTGAAGTGGCATAAAACCCACTTCCCACTTGAGCTGTGCAGTAGATAGATGATTCTAAAGAAGGGGCTTGGTCTCTCAGGTTTAAGTTTCCCAGCCTTTGAAATAAAAGTTTGGACTGTTAGATTATTTGAAGTCTCATCCTCTTGAAAATTCACTGAGACCAAATCTTACATACCAGGATATGATTTCATAATGCTGTGCACAAAAATGTTTGCCTAGCCTAAATACTGACATTTTCTTTACTAATACTTTAATATGCTCAACTTCTGTGTATCAGTGATTGTAGACTAATCTAATAACTTACAGTAACTCTTCCATTCTGCATGAAGAGCCTGATGTGCTAGGAGCCTGTACACTAAAAGTATAAGAAAAGAATGAATCATTATCCCTCTCCTTATTTAATCAGACGTGTGTTTGGGTAAAGAGGAGAACTATGGAGCATTAATGGAGTATATTTATGGGCACTAAGTGTGTATTTCAATACTGAAGCTTGGTCAAAAATAATTTATTCTTGCTTCTCTATAAATAAAATGACTTTCAAGGTTTTCTCTTTCGTGCTGCTTCATTTATTCATCCATTCCCTCATCCATCCATTCATCCATGAACTCAAGGATCTATGCATGTGTACATCCATCTAAACCATTGAACATGGATTAACCATCCATTATGCCAGTGAGACAGGGGTGTGGTGTGACATAGGCTGATAATACCTGTACCATCCTGTAGCTGGCTGTTAGTACCTTGGGATCCGCAAACGTGGGTCATAGCTAAGCTCATGAATACCTAAATCCATATATTAAATAGTTTCAAGACGGAGTCCTGGTGATGTCTGAAGATGTTTATATGACTGTGCCTTTAGATTTAATTAAATGTTAATAATGAATGCTACAGCAATAATTGCTATAGACCAGTGGAGAGGAAAATTGGGAGAAAATAAACTTCATTCTGTTGGGCTTGGTTGTGGGTGTGGTGTGGTGTTCACCAAGGGTCCACAGTGAAAAGATACTTGTGTATCATTAGTGAGACAAAAGCCACATCATACCCCATGCAGCCATGTGACAAACACAGCCCCAAAGCCCATGGGCTCTGGTCCTATTGTTTCTAAGTGAAGTATGATTCTCTTCATGGGTCACAGAGCCACTGTTATCTGTCCTCTCTAAGCTGTTATTCATCATTATGTGTGTATGTTGTAAAAGTCACCTAGTTTTGAATGGCAATTTTGTAGCATTATTTTTATTGCTTATTGTGCTTATGGCTGATTATGATGCTGGGAATTAGTAAACTTAAAGTCCCCAACATGGAGTAATTTCTTAATTCATGGTTATTATTTTGGCATATTTGTAACTATGTGTTTGCATAGTGAGTTCCGTCACATGAATATCTGCTTCTCAAGGCAAGAACAAGGTCTTACTCAACTCTGTATCTCAGTGTCTAGAAGGGCATTGTCAGCCAGGCGTATTGAAAGCCCTGATTTCCAAGGGAGAGTTTCCAGTGTCTGGAGACCTTTGTGGTTGTCCCCGCTTGGAATGGAGAGCAATGCTGAGAAACCCTTTACCATGCCCAGAAAACAGATATGCATCCCTGAGTGTCCTTAGCACAGAGATTGAACATACTGGTCTGGATTAGCACTGAGCAGTAACAGGTGCAGAGAAAAGTTTCTGTTTGAATAACACCCAGGAGCCTGGATGAATAAATGGACTGACGTGTATGGTAAGCAGCTGGCCTCACACAAGTTTAAAATTGTGGCAATTCTGATCAGTTAACTTAACCTGAAACAAAACTAGAACTATTTCATGAAGCACTGTAGTCTTTTTTGGTTTATTGGATAGCGGTGGAGAGTCCTGCGTTTAGCTGGGGTCTATGGTTGCGGATCAAAATCTCATAAACACAACCAACATTCCCTGAGGATGCACAAAGTGGCCACGTTTTGGATAGCACTTTGCCCTTTGACTTCACACTTACTTTTGCTATTTCCACTTTACAAACGAGGAAGCAGAAGCTCAGGAAGGCTGTTTGCCCAAAGACATTAAGTTACGTAAACGGAGGAACCAAAATTGAAGTCTAAGCCTCCTTTATTTCAATGCTAGCTTGTTTAGCCACTGCATTATCCGTCCCAGATCCAGTGAACTGAAAAGGTTGATAACACACAACCATGATCTGCATGTTATCTGGTGCAATTTCAAGGATATTCATAATCACAGCTCAGTGCTGAGAGTCAGGAGTTACTCTACAGATGACTTTGAAAAAAAATCACCAAATTTGAAGTTCTTTGAATTTGCCTAAAGGTTCTTTAATATTGAACAATGTTCATAGATTTGGTGTTGTTGGCTTGCTAAATCTTTTTTATTTGCTAAATAATTCAGAGGTGAATTATTCTCTGATAAAGGCTCTCTGATTCAGATATTGTTTCCCAGAATCCCAGTAATCAGGTGTGGTGATTCAATACAGACATATTTCTTAGAACTATGGATTTTTTCCTTTCCTATCTTTTGTCCCAGCTTTTACACCTACAAGCTTGTTTACAAAGATTGATTCCAAATCCCTTTCTCTTTTGGAGTTAACATAGCCTCTGTAGAATTTCAATTTGATTTACCCTGAAGGGCTGGGGATTTTGGCAAGCTTCCCAGGCCAACTCCTTTATGGGGTAAAAAAAGTGAAAATTACTGAAGGACGAGGGGACAATTGTACAGTTGTAAAGAGCTACAGGGAATCTATGGGGTTGCCGCTAGGGAACAGGTGGGAAGGCAATGGACTGCGAAATCGGCTGAATAGTGCCATCTAAGAAAAATAAAATGTGGAACACTTCCCTAGGCATCTTTGCTCAGTACATTGGCACCTATGTGTCTGGCTCCTAATTTCTCCCTCTACTTTGTTCATCTCTCCATCTGGCTGTCTGTACATCTGTGCATCCAGACATAGCGTGGAGCTGGAATAGCCTGGAGGCTCCAGGCATCAGATGTCGGAGTCCAGCCCTTGAGGTCCTGAGCAGCCCATGTCTGTCTGTGGGCACCTGCCGTGACCTGTGTTATCACAGTATGGCTCAGTGTCCTCACTCCCACAGTGGGACAATGCCTGCCTGCGAGGCACTGTGTGACTGTGAAGTGTGGATGCAGGGACAGAGCGCAGGGCAACATCAGAAGCTTAACAAGGGCTCAGTCAATCTTAATGATTAGTGAAGACGAAGTGGGGACGGATTTCAGGAGCAGTTCCGTTAGAAGTAATGAAGGAGGGGAGGAGTTTCAGGCAGAGTGGAGGAGGAATGTTTTGTGGAACTTCATGGTTCATTACCTGCAGTTCCCTTTTCACCTTTCTCTCCTTTCCTGCCATCTCTGCCATCTCTTCCCGGAAGGCCGATTCGACCATGGTGCCCAGGGGAACCGTTTGCCCCAGGGGGTCCTGGAGGTCCAGGTAAGCCAGGAATGCTACAGATATATCTCGGGGAGTAGCTCTCTCCTTTGACCTGACTACCCCGAGGTTGTCCACTTGCACATATGGCAAAACTTGTGACATAGAGCAACACAAACATCTTTGGCTCTGGAAGAGAAACACACAGACATAAGTGCACCCTCCCAGGGTGGGGGTGCACATGATTGATTCAGTTTGAGTGTGCCAAGGGGCACATGACACGACAGCCTTCACCTGTGCCAGGCTTTACCTCTGCACATGTGTGAAGCCTGTTTTCCCTCAGAAGTCCCTTGAAAACTGGCACATTATTGACAGAATTCTCAGTGCTCCACGTAGGGAGGTCCAGATGAAGAAATGATTAGCAAATTTTCAAAACAAATCATTGAGTTGCATTTATTCTATAAAAACCAATGACAGACTTTGAAAAATGATCCTTTCTTTTTGCAAAAGTACCGCATTGTTTTTAAAGAGCTGTAAGAGTAGGATAAATATCAGTGCTGTTCGTATCACCCAGAGATAATTACTCTTTATATTTTAATATATACATCCTTCTGTACCTTTTCATTTATGCTATGCAGAAAAATGATATTGGGTAATTTCTACAATTCTTTAGTATTTATTTCATTTAAAACTGTATTATGAATGTCTTCCTAGGTTTAACTTATTCATGACTTTTGTCTTTACTGTGTTTTATGCATATAACCCTCCATTACAGACATTTGCTTCCAGCATTTTGCCAATACAAACACCATGCTAGACATCACTTTACATCATCTTTGTATGCATCCATGATTGTTTTCTTTGAATTTATGGGCCTTTTAAAGCAGAAAAAAGAAGCATTTTCAGGAAAACCATGTTTTTCACTTCGTAATCATGTGTAACGCCAATTAGTGTTAATTGAAGGACTGTGCCTATCCTGAGGGGAGCCTCAAACTTTAATTTAAAATCTGCAGGATATAATGCTGTGGTGTCCCATTCAACCATTAGCACAGTGGGGTCAATTAAGGAGCTGTGTGAAATTAAGTCATGCAGTGTGCCATGCGCTTGGAGCGAAGCAGGCCCTGGGTCTCTCCAGCTCTAATCTAATAGGATTCGGGTTTCCCTGTGCAAAGCCTGGCAGCTGTAGGGGATGCATGCATGATATTTTAGCTCCCCTGAGGGTGGAGGCGGGTGGCATCAGCTAAAGATACCTGATGTTTAGGGTAAGCAATTTTTTTTGCATAGAAAAATATAGACAAATGGTGTAGAATTGTGTCATTTTTGGATGGCTGGATCCGTTTTCAAAAGAAATCTGTGTGATGCTTGAGCTACACTATACTCTCCCATAGGAAATAATCCTAAAGCATGGGGAAAACAGTCTGAGAATTTCTTTCTTTCTTTTTTGACAGCTACTTCATAAAATTAGCCAGGTACAATGTACTATTTTTTATGATACTCAGGGGGGAAATGACAACATTCTGAGATTTGACCCAGATATTTGCCAGTGTTCAGGAAAGACAAGCTGAGGAAAATGTAGTACACTTATGAGATTCTGAAAATAAACCTCACTGCTAGAGACTTATTAGTGAGAAACCAAAGAAGGTGCATGTCCTGTCCATTAGGTCCTGTCCTGTGACTTTCTATTAGGTCTCACCCCGTTAGCATTTAGCCAGTCACTGCCACCACTGAGGACCATGCTCCTGTCCCATGAGCCCTTGGGGAGCACTCTTAAACTATATCCAAGCTGCGGGAAGCACAAACCCAAATCCTTAATCCATGGGATTAAGGCACATTCTGCCAAGCCCTGAGAGCCTGATAGAGACACCAGGTCTTCCAAAGGAGCCATGGATGAAAGAAAGTGGGAAGAACTCTTTATATACACTCCTTTCTGCCCTCGACATGCGTAGATAGAATCACAGTTTCTCTCTCTTGGGAAAGACTGATGAGGCAAAGTCTCACCGAAGGAACTGATAAGGTTTCCAGCTACCTGTGGGATACAGGTGTGAGGCTAAGGCCAGGAGACGGTGCCAGGAGAGGATGTACGTGGGTGGTGGCATCTTCCAGGTGAAAGAGAGAATGAAATGATGCCAACAGTCAGGGCAGCCTTGGGTTAGAGGAGCGGGGTAAGGGCGTAGCTGGTGGAGGACAGAGGAAGCAGAAACTGAAAAGCTGGACTGGCAGAAAGCATATTTTACAGGCAAGAAAGTACTCAGAGGAGGAATACATTAAAGTAACTGACATGGATTTATCATTGAAGGAGTGAATTGCCTTTTCCCCCTCAGGTGATAGCGTTGTATTTTATTTTTGATTCATGTATTCAGGCACCCCCCCACCCCAGTTCACAAAAAGGAGGGGAACTTACATTAGGCACTGGCCGAAGAGCGGGTTTTGCAAGTTGGAGAAAAGGAAGCTGAGAAGGATTGACTGGGAAGTGTACTGGGTAATAGCAGGTAACTCCATGCTACTTGATTCATAAAAAATAAGGCTGGGTCTACTCCACTACTTCCCCTCAGATACCCTGGAACCTGTTGTTTTATGGGATGTCTGGTCTGTTTTGGGCTCTCTGTGCTTCCTTAAAATTTAAATCCAATTAGGTCAAATGTAGAATAATTATTTTTGTTTGTTCTGTACCTTTTTATTAATTGAGTTATTGGTGCATTTGGGTGTGTGTAATGATCACATTTAACCACAGGGAATTTGGACCTGGACATACCAGGACTTGATCGTTTTTCCCATTCGCTTACCTTCCTTCAATCCCCCTTCTGCTCCTCATTTACAAAAGCTTTGCTTTTGTTTTTCCTTATTTTCTCATCATTTTCTCCTTTTCCCTCCCCGCCGCCCTTCTCCCCCCCCCCCCAAGTCCCTGTCCCATTTGAACATTTTCTTCCTAGTTCACAGTATCTGTTGTACTCGTTGGTTCTTATTTACATTTTTGGTTTCTGAATGAAATGCCTTCCACTGAAAAATGCCCTAAAACATCATCTGCGCCAAAACTAAAATGCTTTGCGTGTAGAGGGCTGCTGTGTGAGGTGCCCGCTGCACGGCCTCGGCGTGATGGTGACACTAGGGACTCCTGGGCTGTGGCTCATTCAGCAGGACAAAGGGGTGTCACGGATCCCAGGGGAAACCCACAGAGCTTCTCCGCACAACGACTCTTTTACTTTACGAGCCTGAAGCTTCCTGTTACCCGGTACCATGGTCTGTAATGATCTCCCTACTCCCCTGACTTCATCTATTCTCCAGCTCGCTCTCCTACTTCCAGCCCCTTTGGATTCCTTGAAGACCTTTCCTGTGTTCCTCCTCTCTGTGTAAAACCCTTTTTGTAGTGTCTTTCTAAAAAACTGAGTGTTTTTTAGTAGCACTTTTGCAGTACGTAATGACTGCATGCCTTGTGGGAGCTGGGTGTCCCTGCAGAACATCTCCACCCTTCTCCAGCCCCCGTCTTCAGGGTTCATTTCCTCCCCACCACCTTGAGGTCTTTGCCCAAATGCCACCTCATCTCTGAGTCCAACTTTTATCATCTTATTTAACACTGGATATTGCTCTCTTTTAACCCTCTTTTTCCTGCTGTTTTGTTCCTATTCCCCGCTGTGCTTATCATTTCAAACTCACTAGATTACTCCAGTCTTTATTTGACATGGTTCATTTTGGCTGGTGGTACATACTGCCATGTGGATAAGGATTTTTGTCTTAATCACTGATGGCTCCAACTGCTTATAACTGTGCCTAGTGCAAAAAATCCCAAGCTGTGAGAAGAAGAGATGTTTTTCTGCAGGGAGGTGTGAGTTTTGTGGAATGTGAGAATATTATAAGAGAAAGGGGGAAAAGAGGATTTAAAGTGTCCCAGCGTTTATGTGTCTCTTTTGCAGTGTTGAAGAAGTGCAAATGAGTGGTCTGAATTATTTTTATGGTATTTGAAAATATTTAAAATTTAATTTTTGTCTAGATAATAATCTGCACTTCATAACAATTTGAAAGAACACACGAGAAGGACACATATCTCTTTGCTTTTCTCAGACTCCTGGGTATCCAGCTGTCTCTGTATGGATGGTTACTGCTGCAGATCCATGTGAGTCCTCTTTTCCCACTTGGCACCTGTATCCAGTGCTCTGCACTTAGCCTTTTCTCCTGGCTTCCTTATCAGTACAGAGCATCCCTTGGGGTCCACAGAGAACTGGTTCCAAGATCCCTGGACCACTCACATGGATGCCAAAATCCAAAGATGCCCAAATCCCTAATGTAAAATTACATAATACATAGATACATATCTTTCTCCATGCTTTAAATTATCTATGGATTATGTATCATATCTAATAAAGTGTAAATGTTATGTAAATAGCTGTTTTATGTAGATAATATGAAAAAAGTCTATACATCCTCCATGCACATGTTTTAAAATATTTTTGCCTCTATATGTATCTGGCTTGGTAAATGTGGAGTTACTTCACTCTTTTCATTTTATTTTATATGGTTATAAAACCTCCATTATTTACATACATTATGTTTTGCCAGACTTCCGTCATGCACATTTGTTCTTTTGGTCCTAAAATTAGAGATGCAATGGTGTGTTTAGAAAACTTCCCTCACTTTAAGATGCTAAGAACAATCCTCACCTTCACCTTTGAGTTCTCTTGTTTCAATTCGTCACATTTAAAATTTTAATGTGAGAATTTTTCTGACTCCAGAAAGGATACAGCTTTGTGTTTTTCACGCCTCATCCTGGATAACTGACTTATCACCCAGTGCTTCGGAGTGAACTCAGTTACTGTGAAAGAGCCATTTGAGTCACAACTTTGTAAATATTATAATAGTTGGTAACAGTTTTATAAAGATATTATTTGCATACCGTGGAATTAACCAAAGTCTACAATTCAGTGCACACCATAATCCACTTAAGAATCTTTTTAAAATCCTGAAAAGAAAACTTATGCCAATTAACACTCACTTCTCTTGCAATATGTTTTAAAAGCATTAAATTGAACTATGCCAATTTATGTAGATACGCATTAGAGTGTATTTCTTCCTACTTTTGTGCTTCTTTGGAGTTGGAAATCAAAGCTCTGGAAATAACGATAATCTTGAGCAGGTCTGTCCTAGATATCAACTGTAAATGACTTTCTTATTTTTCTGCAGAGAACAAAGTAACATCA